TAAGATTTGAAGTTCATGGTGTGTTCTATGACCCATTTTTTGGAGAATTTTGTGGTTGAGGGAGAGAGTAAGAGAGAATAGAAAGAAAATGAAGCGAGGGAGTGTGAGAGAGAAAGAGATGGAGTGGGTGAGTGAAATTGATTAATGACTTGGGAAAATGGTGTATTGGGGGGGGGGGGGATGAGTCCGACTTTTGGGAGAACGAGAGAGGATTTCTCTCTCATAAAAATCATTCAAATCATTTCCCCCAATTTTTATAAATTTCTAAAATTTTTATAAAATATGCTTAAGCTTTACATTGTTTTATAAAATCCTTTATTTTCCACTTATAAAATAAGGATAAATGTTGGTACCTTAAACTATAATTTCCTTGATTATATTTCCCAACTTGATTATTTTAAGATAATATTATAAGTTTCAAAAAAAAAAATTATATAATTCTTGATGTTAAACTTTATAAAATTTAGGTTTTAGGGTTTTTAGGGTTTTTGGAGTTTACTAAATATTTGGATATCAAAGTGAACTTTATTTTTGAGACTTCAAATTAATTTATGGTATTTTAACTCTTTTATAATTATAAATAATGTTTGTAACTTATTTTATCGGTTTATTGGCAATCTATGTAGTGGTTTCGAGATTCAAGAGAAATTGAGGAATCAAGTATACTAGTCCTACTCTTCAGCTTTGACTTAAGTTTCTATGAGAGTTTGACCTAGTTTCTACTTCTAGTTCAAGTGTATGATGTGTGTATATGATTCATGAAATGTTGTTCGAGTCAAAGAGTGACCCAAATATGGATAGTCACTACAGCTCAGTAGATGTAGAATTCACATATCAATGTGAAATCTAAGTACACTATCCATTGATTCTAATTGTTTCCCAGTTTCTAGTAGATTATAACTTAGCTTCTAGTTACTAAGTCTAGTATGTGTAGTGCCTATATGTGCAACTAATTCTAGTCAAATCTAGAACCGACTCGAATTTTGACGGTTGTCACACTTCCCTCGGGAAGGATGGCATGATTTGAAGGGAAAGGTAAACTAAATCCATGATGCACCAGACCATTCGAGATCCTCTCACGGATCAGTCTGATAACCTACAAACTGCAACTACCCTCCAAGATTAGGGACGTACATCCTGTGTTCCATGTGTCGAACCTAGGAAGTGTCTATCAGACAAAACCATCCTTGTTCCACTAGACAAGATTGAAATAAGCCAGAACCTCCTAATAATTGATCAACCTATCGAGACAATGGATAGAAAAGTTAAGCACACATACACAAAGTCGCACCCCAATTGAAAAAGTTTGTCGGAGTGCCAAACGCGGACCTGATTTCACTTGGGAATGCTAAAACCAAATGATATAAAAGTATCTCCACCTATTCGCGAACCCTTGAAGGCTACTTCAAAGAAAAATTTCAGGATGAAATTCTCTCAAGAGGGGGATGATGTGACAACCGGCAAACTTCTGGTCAAAGTCAAAGTCAAGTCAAGGTCAGCGGGTCAGCTGGCCAACTCGGCTAGTGTTATATATTAGGGATTTCCTTCTGTTTGCTAATGTACAACAATAAATCCTAATGCAAAGTGACACTTGAAATTCCCAAATGTTTGAAATTTAAAACCCTAATCTGATTTAGGGGAGTAACAGCTCTATAAAGTGCTATTGAGTACCCTTCGGGGGTGTATAACACTAAAAATAGAAAGTATCTAAGTCTAAGGACCTTGTGCTACAATGAAAAACGTTGATAAAGGCTCCTGGCAAAGTCTCTCCCAATCTCTCCCACTGTACCTTCCTCAGTTGAAAACAACCTAAAACCGGAGGAGAGAACCCAAAAGGACACTCTTTTTCCGGACTCCTCTTGGTCCATAACCCTCTTGGTCCGGACTGCTCTTGGTTCGGAACCCTCTTGCTCCTGAACCCTCTTGGTCCGTACACTTGCTAAGGAACCGGGAAGGTTCTCACCTTCGGAACCTCCTTTCTTTCGTAACCTACCCTACTCCGGAAGGCTTCACTCCAGAATAAGCCTCTCATCTGGACTCTTCAATGGCCTCAGAATCCTTAGGTTGCCTCGCACCTCGGTCCAGACTCACCTGGTTCGCACCTGACTCCGGATGTGAAGAATGACTTTGGAATTCATCCAGCGCCTCCGGAACCTTCTTGCATCAGCTTTGGACCCTCGCAGCCCTAACCCTCCCCTCCGAAAATTGAGATACAGCTCCGAAATGTTAAGAGAAGCTTCAGAATTCATGTTGTGGCTCAAGATTTCACTCTTTTACTCCGGATTTTCATCATTTTTGGACTTTTTCACCATTTTAAGGCATTTTGAAGCCGGAAATCACACCAAACTCGTATTTTTCATGTCTTAGACCCTTTAAACCCCTATTTTATGCCAAAATTAATTATTTTAAATATATTTATATAAAATAGAACCCAAGATTTTTAAGGAGATTCTAAGGCAAATAAAGGGGGTTTGACTTGGTAATGTGATGTAAATTCTTCATTTCCCATGCAAATCCCAGTAATCTATGCATTAACCCTTAGTGATAGACATTACCCACCACTACTCAAGCAAATGTCAAATCACTCCTTATCTTCTCTATGATGAAAAGGTGAACTACCCTCTCACTTCTCATATACATATTCATTAAACTTCTAAGAACACTCCCATATTCTCTCGCTTCTCTCTTTTTCTCTCAAAAATTCATTTCAAGAGCAAGAACAAGATCTTGCTGAAAACAAAATCCTCAATTTTCTCCCTAAAGTTGTAAGGAAAACATTCTTCACAGAGGAGTTCCTCATCTCAGCCAAGATTTAAGCTTGAGATCTTCACTCCATAACCCCAAAGAACTCCTCAGCCAACTCAAGGAGAGCTTCATACCCCACCTTTTTCAATGTTTTAGTGTTTTTAGGGGAGAGTACAAGTCAAATCTTGCTTAAATACTTGAATAATTGCATGAATACGTATGTTGGCATGTGTGTGTGAAATATTATTAAATTATTATTTTAATAAAATACTTATGAATGTAAGATTTCACGACTTCATAAAGAATAGAGGATACTTTGTGTTCAAAAGAACCTCCCAATTATTGGGTGTGTCCAACTTAGGTCCTTTATCTATGTTTTAATGTGTAGAGATAAAAGTCATAAAAAGGGACCTTGACAAGTGGACACCATTTCTAGTAATTTTCGAAAATGGAAACTTTGTGATTATTTGCAAATATCTGGAAGTATTTTATAAATATTCGATATAAGAGATTGCGTCAAGAAAACATTCAAATAGAAACCATTAGGACAGAAATATTTGCGTGTCCGAAACTGTTGTCGTAAAACCTCCAAGAACATATGTAATGTTCTACATGTCATAAAACAGAATATGAGTGTCATAACCGGCAGTTATAAATTTACACAAATTATAACTTGACACCTTTTCTCTTTGACTAAAATGGCTTATTTTTCAATGAACGAAAAGGAACGAGCACGAGCACCCAGTTAACGAGCACAATCAATGATATGGAACGAGAACAATATTTCTATTAAATAAGTACGAACTTCATTATTTACCTAACAAATAATGGATCTCTAACGATTGCTCAAAAGGTTGTTAATATTTTAGTTAGACAAATATCAAAAGTACCTAAATATAAAAATATTAGTGTACGTTTAAGTCCTGTAAGGAGTAATAGCCAGAGTCTCCTGGAGGGAGAGCGGGAATTTGTGTATAGATCTATACGGGTTTGACACCCCGCACCTTCGCTGTTCGCTACAGCTAGACAGGTCAGTCTAGGGTGACAAATGTCTTACCCAAACCGAGGGCGCCTGAGAAACGCCCAAAACAGGCACTTTGTCAGATTAGTATGGTTATAATGACTCACTAGAATATGTTTTATTAACTAGAAATTTATGTAAGGAAAACCTCATAAATAAATGTTGGCATGTTGTGTTGACTTTCCTACAAGTGATAGGTGATGGTCCGCATTTGTTGTGTTGACTGTCCTTGCTCATTGCGTAGAATGTCCACAAATCACCATGTTGATTTCTTTTACCTAACAAGTATTAGAGTCTTATACTGATATTTTTACAAATTAAAAAGAGGTAGGTCTCTTTGGAAAGCGTTTGTAAACGATTGTGAAAAGATAAACTAACCCCCACATACACATAGTTGGAGCTAGAACTTACGAATATTTATAGTAGAAAATATAGGATTTTCTGGAGAAAATGATCTTCTACGATTTCGACAATGATGAACTAGAATGCACACTAAATTTTACTCGATAAGAGGAACAATATTTTCAATCATATACTCTTTTTGAAAATAAGGGATTTTTCTTGAAATGTTTGACTATTACTATTCAAAGGAACTATTCTCGTACATAGCTCGCTTTTACAATTCACACTGCTTTTCAAAATTTCTCCTTATAAGGATGAACAAATGTAATGACATGCACACATATATCCATGATTTTCAAGGCAAGACTTCAAACGATTTCATAGAAAATATCGGATTTTCTGAAAGTACAATGAGAACGATTCTAAAGAAGTCTAAATGATTTTTATACAAAATGCTTATGAACTCACCAACTTTTTAGTTAACGCTTTTCAAAACAACTTGTATTCTCAGGGACCTAGTAAGCAGGTATCAAAGGATGCGGATGCAGGACTTTCTAGCTGTAGCTTGAAATATTCTATTTATGTATATTTTGTGTAACTCGAAGAACAAATACAATATGTAAATCATGTAAGTTTGTTATCTCAAGGTATGATGTTTGGATTGCTCTTTTTCATTTATATTTAATTGTTGTGATACTGCACAATGAAGTCGCCCGCCTCCGGACATTTCCGCCGTCTGGCCCGGGGGTGTGACAAAATGGGAAAATTTGACAGCATTCAGACCCCCGAATTGTGTACTCACAATTCAGCGACTTTACATACATAAAGGAAAAGTGGCACCAACGCCCACTCGATAAGTCTAGCCTATAACATGGAGCTAGTAGTATGCGTGCTACTCTGAATAGGTGGTGCGCTGCGGACCATGATATTTGGTTTTGGAAGCCTGAGCTATTTGACGTTCAGCCTCGATGATGTGCCTTTCCATTTTGGCTTGGCTTTTCCGGAACTCTTTTACCTCTGCTCTAGCAGCGGTAATGTCCTTCTGAAAGGAAACGATGTGCTCTATTGTTCGATCATGTTCTCCGCCCGGACGACAAAGACATACCACAGTGACTTTGGTGGTAGCACCAATATTCATGATTTTGTTGGAGTTTACTACTGTTTGCGCGCCTTGATTGGTGATGCGACGAATCATGACAGGGAGTGCCCTGTCAGTGACACTTTCGTCTCCGAGATTATGAAAGCCTTGTCCCATGTTGTAGGATGGATGTTGTCCTTATTCCCTGCTCCATTGTCTTAGGTCAATATCCCAACGGGGCGTCGGGCCCTGAAAGTTCCATTGGAAATTTGGTACCACTTGGGGAGGATCGTAGACCACTAGTTCCGAGTCAGTGCCCTCATCGTCCGCATCTCCTTCTTCTTCTTTAGGGTCCTCTTAGGGATCCTCTTCCGGATCCTCCTCGGGAATTTCTACGGGATCCTCTTTTGGATCTTCCACAATCCAACCTCCATTGCCCTTGTTAGGGTAGTAAGGATCTCTAGGGATATGAAATCCTGCCATTTCGTCTGATCGTGAATAGAGATGAGAGAATTTTATATATAAAAGTTGAGTTAGAAAATTTTTATGATAAGACCTACACTGAGTCCTCCTATAGATACCTAGTGTATACAATTTACACACACTAGAGATTGAATAGGCTGTCGGATAAGTAGCTTCATTATAAATCCACATCCAAACAAGGAAAAGGGTCTAGAGAGAAATCATAAATCCAAAGCCTATGAAACCTCAACCATGTGTAACCTTTAAAGTATGCACTTTGCAATTATAGGTCTGGCAGTGTAGGCATTTAGTTTTTATAAGCATAATTCTATTGAAGATTCTTAGTCCTAAGGAAATGTCACGTTTTACACGTTTATTACCATTGTTATAGTGTCACAAATATTCCTATAGTATTTAAATTTGTAAGTTTGATACTAGTGTGATTTTCCTAAGTTCTGACTTGTTGCTTACTACGACCATTGCTTGACATACGTTGGCCCGACCTCGGATAAATATAGTTGACCAGGCTATATTCGTCCTAGATCTGATTACATATATCGTGGTTTATTCGTAGTGTCCAACTTGTCTTAATACTTTTTTATAGTTCTAGCTATGAAAAGAAATCGTTGTATGCATGTATTTGTGCTTTCATGAAATTAACAATTTAAGTTAATAAGATGGGGTTCATGTGTAGACGTTTTGTTAGAGATTTTTAGTCCCTATGCATTTATAGTTTGTACATCCTATGTGGTACAATATACTTAGTTCAGTATAAACAATGCTGAGATACCAATCTGTCACACCCCCGAACCAGAATGGTGGAAACATTCGAGGGTGGATGACTTCATGTAGTATCATAACAGTTGAATACAAAGTAATGAAAGCAAACAAAACCACCACAAATATAATTTAAACATTTACATTCTTGGTTAAGGATGAATAAATGTAAGGACATGCACACATATATCCATGATTTTCAAGGCAAGACTTCAAACGATTTCATAGAAAATATCGGATTTTCTGAAAGTACAATGAGAACGATTCTAAACAAGTGTAAATGATTTTTATACAAAATGCTTATGAACTCACCAACTTTTTAGTTAACGCTTTTCAAAACAACTTGTATTCTCAGGGATCTAGTAAGCAGGTATCAAAGGATGCGGATGCAGGACTTTTTAGCTGTAGCTTGAAATATTCTATTTATGTATATTTTGTGTAACTCGAAGAACAAATACAATATGTAAACCATGTAAGTTTGTTATCTCAATGTATGATGTTTGGATTGCTCTTTTTCATTTATATTTAATTGTTGTGATACTGCACAATGAAGTCGCCCGCCTCTGGACATTTCCGCCGTCTGGCCTGGGGGTGTGACAAAATGGGAAAATTTGACAGCATTCAGACCCTCGAATTGTGTACTCACAATTCAGCGGCTTTACATACATAAAGGAAAAGTGGCACCAACGCCCACTCGATAAGTCTAGCCTATAACATGGAGCTAGTAGTATGCGCGCTACTCTGAATAGGTGGTGCGCTGCGGACCATGATATTTGGTTTTGGAAGCCTGAGATATTTGACGTTCAGCCTCGATAATGTGCCTTTCCATTTCGGCTTGGCTTTTCCGGAACTCTTTTACCTCGGCTCTAGCAGCGGTAATGTCCTTCTGAAGGGAAACGGTGTGCTCTATTGTTCGATCATGTTCTCCGCCCAGACGGCGAAGACATACCACAGTGACTTTGGTGGTAGCACCAATATTCATGATTTTGTTGGAGTTTACTACTGTTTGCGCGCCTTGATTGGCGATGCGACGAATCATGACAGGGAGTGCCCTGTCAGTGACACTTTCGTCTCCGAGATTATGAAAGCCTTGTCCCATGTTGTAGGATGGATGTTGTCCTTATTCCCTGCTCCATTTTCTTAGGTCAATAGACCAACGGGGTGTCGGGCCCTGAAAGTTCCATTGGAAATTTGGTACCACTTGGGGAGGATCGTAGACCACTGGTTCCGAGTCAGTGCCCTCATCGTCTGCATCTCCTTCTTCTTCTTTAGGGTCCTCTTAGGGATCCTCTTCCGGATCCTCCTCGGGAATTTCTACGGGATCCTCTTTCGGATCTTCCTCAATCCAACCTCCATTGCCCTGGTTAGGGTAGTAAGGATCTCTAGGGATATGAAATCCTGCCATTTCTTCTAATCGTGAATAGAGATGAGAGAATTTTATATATAAAAGTTGAGTAAGAAAACTTTTATGATAAGACCTACACTGAGTCCTCCTATAGATACCTAGTGTATACAATTTACACACACTAGAGATTGAATAGGCTGTCGGATAAGTAGCTTCATTATAAATCCACATCCAAACAAGGAAAAGGGTCTAGACAGAAATCCTAAATCCAAAGCCTATGAAACCTCAACCATGTGTAACCTTTAAAGTATGCACTTTGCAATTATAGGTCTGGCAGTGCAGGCATTTAGTTTTTATAAGCATAATTCTATTGAAGATTCTTAGTCCTAAGGAAATGTCGTGGTTTACACGTTTATTACCATTGTTATAGTGTCACAAATATTCCTATAGTATTTAAATTTGTAAGTTTGATACTAGTGTTATTTTCGTAAGTTCTGACTTGTTGCTTACTACGACCATTGCTTGACATACGTTGGTCCGATCTCAGATAAATATAGTTGACCAGGCTATATTCGTCCTAGATCTGATTACATATACCGTGGTTTATTCATAGTGTCCAACTTTTCTTAATACTTTTTTATAGTTCTAGCTATGAAAAGAAATCGTTGTATGCATGTATTTGTGCTTTCATGAAATTAACAATTTAAGTTAATAAGATGGGGTTCAGGTGTAGACGTTTTGTTAGAGATTTTTAGTCCCTATTCATTTATATTTTGTACATCTTATGTGGTACAATATACTTAGTTCAGTATAAACAATGTTGAGATACCAATCTGTCACACCCCCGAACCAGAATGGTGGAAACATTCGAGGGTGGATGACTTCATGTAGTATCATAACAGTTGAATACAAAGTAATGAAAGCAAACAAAACCACCACAAATATAATTTAAACATTTACATTCTTGGTTAAGGATGAATAAATGTAAGGACATGCACACATATATCCATGATTTTCAAGGCAAGACTTCAAACGATTTCGTAGAAAATATCGGATTTTCTGAAAGTACAATGAGAACGATTCTAAACAAGTGTAAATGATTTTTATACAAAATGCTTATGAACTCACCAACTTTTTAGTTAACGCTTTTCAAAACAACTTGTATTCTCAGGGATCTAGTAAGCAGGTATCAAAGGATGCGGATGCAGGACTTTTTAGCTGTAGCTTGAAATATTCTATTTATGTATATTTTGTGTAACTCGAAGAACAAATACAATATGTAAACCATGTAAGTTTGTTATCTCAATGTATGATGTTTGGATTGCTCTTTTTCATTTATATTTAATTGTTGTGATACTGCACAATGAAGTCGCCCGCCTCTGGACATTTCCGCCGTCTGGCCTGGGGTGTGACAAAATGGGAAAATTTGACAGCATTCAGACCCTCGAATTGTGTACTCACAATTCAGCGGCTTTACATACATAAAGGAAAAGTGGCACCAACGCCCACTCGATAAGTCTAGCCTATAACATGGAGCTAGTAGTATGCGCGCTACTCTGAATAGGTGGTGCGCTGCGGACCATGATATTTGGTTTTGGAAGCCTGAGATATTTGACGTTCAGCCTCGATCATGTGCCTTTCCATTTCGGCTTGGCTTTTCCGGAACTCTTTTACCTCGGCTCTAGCAGCGGTAATGTCCTTCTGAAGGGAAACGGTGTGCTCTATTGTTCGATCATGTTCTCCGCCCAGACGGCGAAGACATACCACAGTGACTTTGGTGGTAGCACCAATATTCATGATTTTGTTGGAGTTTACTACTGTTTGCGCGCCTTGATTGGCGATGCGACGAATCATGACAGGGAGTGCCCTGTCAGTGACACTTTCGTCTCCGAGATTATGAAAGCCTTATCCCATGTTGTAGGATGGATGTTATCTTTATTCCCTGCTCCGTTGTCTTAGGTCAATAGCCCAACGGGGCGTCGGGCCCTGAAAGTTCCATTGGAAATTTGGTACCACTTGGGGAGGATCGTAGACCACTGGTTCCGAGTCAGTGCCCTCATCGTCTGCATCTCCTTCTTCTTCTTTAGGGTCCTCTTAGGGATCCTCTTCCGGATCCTCCTCGGGAATTTCTACGGGATCCTCTTTCGAATCATCCTTAATCCAACCTCCATTGCCCTGGTTAGGGTAGTAAGGATCTCTAGGGATATGAAATCCTGCCATTTCGTCTGATCGTGAATAGAGATGAGAGAATTTTATATATAAAAGTTGAGTAAGAAAATTTTTATGATAAGACCTACACTGAGTCCTCCTATAGATACCTAGTGTATACAATTTACACACACTAGAGATTGAATAGGCTATCGGATAAGTAGCTTCATTATAAATCCACATCCAAACAAGGAAAAGGGTCTAGAGAGAAATCATAAATCCAAAGCTTATGAAACCTCAACCATGTGTAACCTTTAAAGTATGCACTTTGCAATTATAGGTCTGGCAGTGCAGGCATTTAGTTTTTATAAGCATAATTCTATTG